AGAATGGTAGGAATAGCCATCTTAGTCGGTTCTAGGTTGGCCTCTCAAGTGTTCTGGTTCCCAAGATCACAGAAGGGGCCTTGTACCTGCTGAATATTTGGTGTGAGCCCTGTGAGCACTCAGGATCCAGGAAGGCACTCCGACCTATGGCGTCAGAATTCGGGTGTGAAGAAGCCGGCAAGGATCATGTGTTCTCAGCTGGAACCGAGGCACCCAGGGGTGTCAGTACGAATAGTCTTTGACAAACGTTTGCTCTTCTTACTCACCCTTAGATGTTTCTGGGGCAATATAACCCATATTCTGAATGGATCAACCAAGCTGTTTCCCTTGTTTTTCTAAGTAATTCTGCCAGGGCACTCATGCCCCTAAGGTCAGAGTGAATAATGCTGTGTCACACACAGTAGACTGTCCCAGGCTTTTCAACAATAGGCAGCTACCTCTTCTCTAGATTCTTGTCCAGATCCAGTCTCACTGGCTCCTGGACCCTTCTCAGCTCTAACTTAGAGCCTTAAATCTCTTAGCTTGAGGAGTCCAAACCTACCCATGTCTTTGGGATGGTGGGGATAAGGAACAGTGTCCCTGCAGTCCCCAGGGAGGCAGGATGTCAGGAACAGACCTTCACACTGAAGGTCAGGAAATCTGGCTTCCCATCTTCTGCATGTACCTCCCTTGCCTCAGTGTCTTGTCTGTGTCCTAGTGTTTGAGGGGAGGAGATTAATTAGATAATCTTTAAGATTCCTTCTGCCTCCCAGACTCTGGTTTTAAGCAGGACCCTGTAACTTCTGCTGGAGATGAATTCCCATAATGTGAAGGTGCTTCGGGGTCAGGTTTCGAGTGGGATGCACATTCAGATTCGTGTTTGTAGAGGCTGTCCTCACTGAACTGGGTTCCAGCCCCCAGGATGCTGCATTCAGCCCTTTCTGGAAGGCTGAACCTCTGCTCTGACCCTTTCTGTAGATCTATTCCCCAACATGTCTGGTACAGCAAGTCAGTATCCAACATCTCCACCTTCCTCCAAAACACCCCCTTCTTCTTGACATTTCTGCTGCAGTGAGAGTCATCACCGAGCACACCGTCATCCAGATAGAAGCCCCCAGGGAGGGCGCTGTGCACACCTTCTCTGTGTTGCCTCTTCCCTCATCCATTACATACAAAAAGAAACCAAAGTATATCCCTTTGTCTCTGAAATCCGCCAGTCCCACTGTCTCTACCTTGGCTCAACCCTCCATGGTCTCTGCATGGGGCATTCCTCTCCCCTATCACCCATTCTCTAGCCAGTTCCAGGCTGCAGTGTACAACTGGCCAGGCCATTCCTAGTCTCCTTAGAATGGAATCTGAGCATCTGGGCATGGCCACAAAGCCCCAGGTCCTCTTGTCACTGCCCACCCCTCTAGCCCTGCTCCCTCCACACCCCTCCCCTAGCAAGTCATATCTTTGCATGTTCTGGAGCTCTTCACACCCACCTCCCCATCTCACACCACCCCCCTAACCTTCCTCCCCTGGACCACTCTTCATCCTTCAGGATGCATGCAGAGAGCCTCCCTTTGGGAAGTCCGTCCATGCTTGCCTCCAGGCAATACTTACCTGTAATACTGGCATCATCTGTCTACTCGCTCCCAATTGTACCAGACATCCTTGAGGTCAGTTTCTGAGCCCTTTTTCATGGCTCTCCAGCACCCAGCATGAACATTAACGTGTTTGTGAATGCTTGAGGGAATGGCTCCCTGTCATGTGGAGAAGGTTCTTCTGGGTCTCCAGGTGTTATGTGTGGAGGATGTGTAGGTGTGGGGCAAACGTCACATGGCATGGATTAAACATTAGTCTTTATTGGGAAAATTTACAAAGACCAAGGGTCAATGAGAGAAGTCATTGATCCCCCCAACCCTCCCATTTCACAAAGACATGTGCCAGGTCCATGAAGCCACTGGGTTTGCAGTGGGTCTGTGCCCAGTGGAGGGATTCCTCTCCTGTGGCTCTTTCTTTTCACAGGGCAAGTAAATAAGGGACAGCAGCCTGTCAATGAGGGAATAACTAGACTGCTTCACTCCAGGAAGCCTGGATTGGATATGTTGGCTTTTCACAGGAGTTGACGAGGAATGCCAGCTTCTCAGCAGTTAAGGTCCTTGACACCTTTAGGAGATTACTGCTCTCTTTGCCAGGGGTAGGAGGGACTCCATGCTTAGGTGCTACCTCTCCCAGAAAGCTCACTGTCTAGGTCAGGGGTATCCAACCTGTGGACAATTGGCCACATGCTGATTGTAGGAGGATTGTTTTTGCTGCTTATCTGTGGCGTTGGATATCATCAAAAGTATGCAGAGACCTTCTTTTTTGCTCATCAGCTTTCATTAATGTTTGTATATTTAATGTATGGCCCAAGACAACTCTTCTTCTTCTAATGGACGTCAGCAAAGAAAAAATATTGGACACTCTTGGTCTAGATAATGCAGAGAGAGCTCCAGGGTCACTTTTGCACAATGCAACTGGCTGTACCACATTGATCATGAATGACTGAGTGGATGGATGGATAAGTGGACTGATGGATGTGTGAATGAGTAAATGGATGGATGTGTGTGTGGTAGATGGATGGATGGATGGGCAGATAAGTGGATTGATGGATGTGTGGAACAACAAATGGATGGATAAGTGGATGGATGGATGGGCAGGTAAATGAAAGTGTGAAAGCAGCTACCACATATGTGAATACTTGAACGCACCTGGCACTTAGTAGACACCCAACTTGTGTTTGTTTCCTTTTCCTTTTCTTTCTTTTTCAACCCAGCTCTAACTTTCTGGGAATGCAGAAGGAGGTGGCCCTGTCTTCTGGTGCCAGTCAGGAAAGCTCTGGACTTTTATGGGATGGAGAGAGGAGACAGGGTCTCCTGGCTGTTTGATAGCCCCTCTCCTGCCCTACCCACAAGCATCCTCAGCTTCCCTTGTGCCTTATGCCACTTTCTCCCCTTCAATACTGCCCTGATATACATTTTAATCCAATATCACCTGACTTTAAAAGATTAGAGCCTCCTACCCACTGTGATTTGTTCTTGGGCCATGATCCGAGGTGGACTCTACATCCCCAGACCAACTTTATGGGACTAAAATAAGCAGGAAGGAAAGGATGAGCCTGCCTCTGAGATGCTGGTTAAATCTGACCCCCACCATCTGTCCCACTGTCTCTGCCTGATCTGGGCCATCACAGCACATGGACTGGTGGTTCTTAAGCTCTAGGATGCTTCAGAAACACCTAGCAATTGTCTACACTGTACATTTCCAGGCTCTCTAGCCAGGAGGTCTACTTCAGTAGGTCTGGGTAGGGCCCAGAATTCTGCAGTTTTTAACTTTGCATCCTCAGACAGCTTCACAGTGAGGCCAGCACTCCCTGAACGTCAGGAGCCTGGGGAAGAGTGAACAGGTCCTCAGGGGGCTGGTGTGTTCACCTCTCCCTGCAGAGCTTCCCGTGGGCTTTCAACACCCCAGCTCGGGAGCACCCCCTCAGCAGTCGAGGCAGGGGGAGCTGTGCCTTGGAGGGCAGTGCCCCCTCCTAACACCCCCCATCACTGCTCCCACATCCACACACTACAGCTCCTCCTGACCCAGCAGAGCAGGGGAAAACGGGTCTGGGGGTTCTGAGCTGAGTGTCTGCTGGGGCTACGGGCAGGCCTGCGATGCCTTGGTGGACCTGCACCCAAATATCGTGTGGACGAGTGTTTTGTGGCTCCGCTGAGGGATGCCTGAGGTTCTTGCAGAGGCGAGCAGTGGAGCATGAAGACATCCAGGCAGCCTGTGCCTGGCGGGACCATTAAGGCCTGCACTTGGGATGGGTGTGTGGGAGGAAGCAATTAGTGGCAGGGAAGAGAGTGAATCAGCGTGGAGTCGGCTTGCTCTAATTGAACCTGCAAGTTTGTCCTGTGAGGTGTGGGCTCCCAGGGACAGACGTTGTGTCCTTCAGTGCAAAGCCCTTCTTCAAGGTGGCAGAGGAGGAAAAAGGTGACCTTCCACCCCTTGAGGAAAGAATATCGGGCCTTTTCTACTCACCACCGCACCCAGTGCCCACCTCTCTCCTAAAAATGCCAATTTTTCTCTGTGGACCTGGCCTATGTCTTTGGACAGAGTTTGTTTCTTAAGAAAGAGATTTCAAATTTCTGGATCCACGTACGTGAGCAGGTTGCCTCCATTTGGATTGCTCTTAAAAGATCCCCCGTGTTGCGCTTCTTTGCAGCTGTGTCTTTGCTCTCTTATTAGGACTTGGGAGAACTCAGCCAGTCCCTTCCCCAAGCCCAAGTCTGCTGCCGTCGGGGTTTGTTCCCACAGAGTCATGGCACGGTTTCCCTGGGGTTCTGCCTTACCCGTTTCTCGGTGTCTGTGTTCTGGCACCGTTTCCCTCTAGATCAAGACATTTTGAGTTCTCTTCTGGGAAGGTACCAACAAATGTTAACTGGTAAACTGAATCAAATGTTTTGAAACATGTAATTTTCCACCACCCTAATATTAAATTTTAACAGAGGACCTTCAAAAACAAAAAAAGAGCAGACGTGATGGCTTATGCCTGTAATCCTAGCACTCTGAGAGACGGAGGTGGGCAGATCGCCTGAGCTCAGGAGTTCTAGACCAGCCTGAGCAAGAGCAAGACCCCCATCTCTAAATGTAGCCTGGCGTTGTGGTGGGCACCTATAGTCCCAGCTACTTGGGAGGCTGAGGCAAGAGAATCACTTAAGCCCAAGAGTTTGAGGTTGCTGTGAGCTGTGATGCTATGGCACTCTACCAAAGACTCTGTCAAAAGAAGGAAAGAAAGGAGGAATCCTGTAATCCCAGTAGACTGGTACAGTAATGGTGGAACAGGTCTCTGAGTTGCACATTTGGCTTGGGATTCCCCATACCCCTAGATCCCACCCCAGAGGGGACGGCATTCTCTTCCACCTGCCTGTGAGATCTGCTAGTTCAGACCTTTCCAAGTCCCCAGCCTAATTATTTCTTTTTCTCTCTTGTCTATTTTTGTTTCCTAGGAACGAGTGGAATATCTCTTTCTCATAATTTTTACTGTGGAAGCATTTTTAAAAGTAATAGCATATGGACTTCTCTTTCACCCTAACGCTTACCTCCGCAACGGTTGGAATTTACTAGATTTTATAATTGTGGTTGTAGGGTAAGTATGACTGTCTTTCTCTTTCCCCTCACTGTGCCAGTATACACTTTGGCTTCCTTCTGAATTTATGTCTCTTTTTGATTTGGTCCTAACTGTGTTGGGCTTCAGACAAGATGAAAAGATTTGCTAAAACTCACTTTGAATTCAGACTTTCTCCAAAGGGAGAAGAACTGTTACCTAAGAGCATCCCCCACTGCTGCTTCCACATGGGCAGGCACGTGTGTGTGCACACAGATGCGCCCACATGTGAGCAAATACCCACACAGACACACACAAACATGCACATGAGAAAACACACATGCACAGCCACACACAAACACTGTACACACAGTCACATGCATGCACACACATGAGCAAATACCCCTGCACGGACATATATATGCACAATCTCACACACATACCCACATGCACACATGCACAAACACACATTTACATACACATTCACATTCAAACATGCACAGTCACACATATGCACACACAAGTGCACAATCACACATGCACAAACCCCTGAGCACACACACGCACTCAGAATCGAATCCTAGTGCTCTGCTATGCTTGAGGACTTTCCTGTCATCCCTGACCCACTGGCCCTGCAGTCCCTCTGACCACCTTCCCTGCTGCATCACTGAGCAGTTGGGGGCAGCTTGCCTGTGGGTGTGGGTGAGGGTGGGTACACGCAGAGCTGCCAGGCTGTGCTTTTGCCTACACAACGCTCGTACTTCAGGCCCTGTCCCCATTCTCACCACTACAGTGGGCCTAGTTCTGTGCCCCGCCAAAACCAAGCTACTCAAGATAGGTGAGTGAGAAGAGAACAGGGAACCATAAGAGGCCAAGGCAATAGGTAACCAAACCCCGACCAAGCACGCCTTCCCCCAAACACCCTGCTCCACTTGAGTGTAATATGAGGCAGTGTCAGTCTAGGCTTACTTAAAAATGTGATATAAAGCATCTCAAATAAAATGCAGCAGTAAATATCTTCTTATGAAGAAATTAAGAACATCACAAAAATATTCTCCGTTAAGTATGTGTACATATGCTGTGTGCAATATAGTTTATGAAAACACAGTTGATGAATTTCCAACAGCTCCTCTGTGTTGTAAGGGAGGATGCCTCTGCAGCAGATCCTATGTCGAGAACATGCGAGATGCTTTGGGCTGATCCCTCCTTACTTTGAGGCCAGCAAGTGCTCAAGTGGTGGCCACCTGTGCTTTCACTCCCTGACAGTCCAGATAGTAATTCAGTATCAAGGTCAGAATGTCAGGAGGCTCTTATCCCAGGGACTATTTTTGGTGAGTCTTTTGTGCCGCCCGAGCAGAGGCACAGGCCACTGTGGGCTTCTGCGGAGCACTCCCTTCTCACTGTCTTCTGGGAGTGCCTGGTCTTTACTGCAGGAAATAACACAGGAGCACATCAAGATCATTTACAAGTGATTTCCTTGTCTCTGGCCATCTGGATGGCTCATATGGGCTGTTTGGAGCTGTGTTAGGGTTTTTCTTTGTTGCCTTATTTTGCCTGGCCAGTAAATGACGCACTTTGGCTACATGAACAGCAGGGATATTTGGGTGACGTGATCTTAGGAACACTAAGATTATTAGCGTCATTAGCCTATTAACCGGGTATTGATTTGCCTCAGAGCACTCAGAGTGTACTTGCAGCTATCTGGAAGATTGTGCTGCTTCTGTTCATGCCAGAATAAATAAAGAGGGACTAAACAAATGCCTTGAATTAACTCAGTAAACCACAGCAAAGGTCCTTAAGTTTTGCTGCTCCAAAGGCCCTTAAATCCTTTTTAAACTCAGTGTCTTTCTCAAGGCCTCAGTCTCCTGGGAGCCTTTGGCACAGGCATTGGAGAAAGCCTCAGGAATGAGATCTGATGCTTCTGGGATCAATGGACAGATGAAGGTGATTTGTAGGGACACATTTTGTTTAGGCAAAAAACCTACATTTTGGAATGAGTTGGAGTTGACTGTGTGTGTTCTGCCCCCTTCATGGCCTTCACTAAAGTACAGGAGGTAGAGGCAGGAGCACAGGGTAGATACCACACAGAAGCCCCAGAAGGGAGGGCCCTAGGAGGGGCTGGTTGCCCCAGTTGTACCAGGAAGCCTTATGTGGCCGGCCACACTTGCTCAGCACAGCCTGTCTGAGTCTCGATTCACACTTTGTGCTGCTGTTCCCCATGACCACAGGGGCAGACTTTTTAGGAGACCAGCCTAGATGCTCGTCACATCTCTCTGGGGTCTAGGCTAGGGAGCTGACAAAGGGAGAGGGGCATCCAGATTTGGCACTCCTCTAAAAGATATTTTTGTCTGTATTTTTTTTTAAGAGGCAAGATCTTCCTCCATTTCCCAGGCTAAAGTGTGGCAGCATCATCATAGTTCACCATCGCCTTGAATTCCTGGGGTCCAGTGATCCTCCCAGCTTAGCCTCCCAGGTAGCCAGGACTACAGGCAAGCACCAGAATGCCCAGCTCATTTTTCTATTTTTACTAGAGATGAGGTCTAAATTCTGCTCAAGCTGAGCTCAAGGTGATTCTTGCCCTGGATTACAGGCGTGAACCCCTGTACCTGATCATGTTGGCTTTCTAAGCCACAGAGGTTATGATGCTCTCAGCATGTACTTCACCGTGACCCTTTACAGTTTTTTCCCCATTGATCTTACACTTGGCCATTTTCATATCTCTTCTCCAGGGATGTTGGTCCTAGGGGTTGTCCAACCAGTCTTGATCTCAGCCCATCCTTCTAATCAGAAAAATGATCTGCGGTCCCCAGAGGGCATAGCTCACCACCTGCTCTCCATCATGCCTCTTTTTTTCTGCCCTGTTTTCAATATCAAATGGGTATGCCACTGCCTTCTTTGTGTCTCTTAGGAAAGATCAGCTCTTCTTGGCCCCTCCTCTGTAGCTACTTAGGGGAAAGTTTCTTCAGGCCTCTTGCAAATCAGAGGGGAGGCTGACTTGCCCTGGAGGCAGGTGGGCTGGGCTGCCTGCTGCCTAAGTGCCAGACTGGGCCCCTGCCATTCTGGTAGCGTGGGATAAGTGGCACGTCCTTCCTAAGGCCGGATGTCTCTGAGGTATGATGGAAGGTGGGGCTGCTGTGTGATGTGGAGGGACTATGGTAGTCTCTGAGCCCCTCTCCCAACCCACCCCGGAACCCTGAAATCCTTAGTGGGTCCCTGCTCAGGAGATCCTGTCCAACCAGCAAGGCTGTGCTGTGTCCCTGCCTCCGTCACAGTGCCAAGGCCCTGCCTTTCTCATGCTCTGGGCCCTCTAGCACCACACTGTCCTGTCCTAGAGGCTCTGCCACCCACTGCAGATCGGCCAGACTCATGTCCTGGAGCCCTCCCCAGCATAGCGTCCACTCAGAGCCCAGCCCTGAGGGAGCCTAAGCTGTTTTCACCTTCACAGCGCCTCCCTGAGGAGAAACACAGCCGGCCACTACAAGCTAAGACCCCTCCTACACTCATTTCTGAATTTTCTACTTCTCCAAAATTAAAAGCAGATCCTTAATAAAGAGTCTCAAGTTGGGGCAGGGGTTCAACAAGAAGAAAGTTGTCCAATCTCTGCTCCTTTCACTGAATAATAATATTTTGTGAACATCTTGTACTCTGATAAGCATATTGCTTTCTTCCAGGAAATACTGGGAACAAAATCTGGTTTGGATTTGGAATGTTGTTTTACAAATTTGCAGACTGGTCTTCATTTCCTCAGGTTTCTAGACTTCAGTGGAAAGCACATTTCCCTTGTGGAGAAAGGTACCCGCTCCCCCACCCTGACAACTTCTGCCCAGGCTTCGAGGCATCCCCAGCGAACACACAAAACCATCAAGCTGCCAAGCTGAGGAGAAAGACTCACAGGGCTGAGGAGGCCTGTAGATGTGGTCTGGCCAGGGTCGTGAGACTCGTGTTAGCTACAGAATCCAGTGTTCAAAGTCTTACTCAGAGGTCCAGTCCCTAGGACAGATAAAAGGGGGGCTGCTCTGTTAAATCCAGGGCCGAGGAGCCCAAACCCCTGCCTCTCAGCTCCAGCCTCACTGCTTCCATGATCATAGTTTGAAAATCCTTCATGTAGACCAGTCCCCTCATGGCTCAGCCCTGCCTGGATCTGAGCTTCTACCAGGCTAAGCCCCAGCTGCAGCCCCCTCACCCACAGATCCAGTTCCCTGGGGCATATGTCACTTAAGGTCCCCAAGCCTATTCTTCAAGAACCAAAGTCTCCCTGGCTCAGCTGAGGTCTGATCTGAGGACCCACTTCTGATGCCTGAGCTTCCTCGTGGCTCCCAGACCCCACTAATAAAGAAATTCAACTGAGCACGGGCTGTGCACTCCTGACAGTGACTTGGTAGCATCATCCTGGGTATAAAGGACAGAAATTGCCGCTATATGCCTCTCCCCTATATTTCTTAGTTACCACAAAAAACTCCTGTGAATCTGTGCACCCCTGATCTAACCCTTCTCTTCTGCGACCTTTCCAGGGTACCCTCTGTTCCCCATGGCCCATTGCCTTTTTGGAAAGAGCCAGGTGCTGATTTCCATCTTGTGAGCCAAGTACTTTCCACCTACTCAACTGAGCCCTGCTCCAGGAAAACAGCAGTGTGTAAATGAGGGGGTGTAACTGAATTCCAGTGAAACTTTATTTACACAACAGGTAGCCAACCCCTTCCCTCTTTGAGGGCACAGCTTCCCTGCAGCTGTCAGAAGCCCGCCACTTCCTCTCTCAGATGCCTGGAGGTCCCAGGATACCCTACCTGCCCCTTATTACCATGGCTCCTTCCCCTCCCTGGCCCCCAGTTTTGCCATTTGCATCATCAGACCCTCTACCCCTACCTCTTTGTATCGCAGCCCTTGGTATGTCTGTGAGTCATTGCTCCTCATGTCTTGAGGACATCAGCTCTTGGCTCCAACCTGTTCTGACACTCACTACTCCTCCCTCTTCCCTCTGATAGCTTTTTGGTTCCTCGATATCTTCTTCTCCAGGGAGCCTCTCTCAGCGGCCCACTCTCCTGGCTGTGGCTGGTATCCCTGTTGTAGCTGGTACCTGTGCCTCCCCCATAATCCCAAATTAAGCATCCTACTCTCTAACCAGCACAGCCATCTTTCCAGCCTACACCCCCTGCACCCCAGCTGTACAACCACCTCATCCTGCTGCATTCTCTCCCTCCCCTGCCCTCAGGTCCCCACTCCTTCCGGAGAGCTTTGATGCGTGCACCACCGTTCCACGCACTGGCATTGCACTTGGCTTCCTTATTCCTCTCTTCATGTCTCTTGCATACCTGGAAGAACACCAGCCACCACCACCCCATCAAATCCAACTGGATGGAGATAATTTAGTCAAGAAGTACACAAAGTTGAGCAGAGTCTCACTTCACATTCAGGACCAGCAACCTCAAGGAGCCCCTTGGTGACACCTGTCCCCTATCCATTTGCTCTTCTATTTCTCAGATGATTCTTCATACCTTTGCCTTGTTCTTCAAACTTCCAGTACCCCTCCCCTTTCATGCCTCAGCTGATGACCTTGCTGCCTGCTTCCCTGAGAAAATAGGTGTAACGAGAAGGGAACTTTCATATGTCCCCAGAACCACATCTTCCTCCCTGAACCAGGACAGACAGCCCCTACCCTATCTAAGGCCGATGCCCTCCGTGTGCATTGAGTTCCTTCTTGCCTGCTGAAGGAGATTGATCCTTCTGGTAGTTCCTCTGGTTTCTGCATCTTCAAACTTCCTGTCTCTAGTAGGTGGTTCCTGTCGCATATAAACACACTGTAGTATCCTCCACTTACAACCAAAACTCTCTTGACTCCACACCTACTTCTGGTAACCACCTTTTTTTCTCTGCTCACGTAACAGCAAAATTCCTCAAAAGAGTTGTCTATGCAGAAGCCACATGTGGCCATTCAGTGCTTGAAAGGTGGCTAATCTGAATTGAGATATGCTATATGTATAAAATATACCACGTACTTCAAAGATTTGATCCAAAACAAAAGAACAACAAACATCTCATGAATAAGATTTCGTATTTATTACATGTTCAGATGATAATATTTTGGCCTTGTTGGGTTAAATACCATCACCACAGTTATTTTCACCTGTTCATTTTCACTTTTTCAGCGTGGCAAAGTTAAATGGCATGTGTGGCTCACATTGGTAGCTTGCATTACGTTTCTGTTGGGTGGGGCTGTCTAGTCTCACTTTCTCCACTGTCTCTTTGTCTCTGGAACCTTGGTCCCATTACTCTACCAACACAGATGTTTTCAGGTCCTGATGGCCTTCATGTCCTTAAACCCAACTGTGTCTCTGCAGCGTCTTGGCACCATTGCCTTCGGACTGGCCACTCCCTCCCATTCTCTCCATTCCTCCAGCTCCACAGGCCACCCCTCATCAGGCTAGATCTTCCTCTCTTTGCTTCCCAACGTGGGGGCACCCCAAGCCCCAGTCCTTTCACCTCCTTTCCTTCTGTGCTAGCCTCCTAGGGATTTAACTTTAAATACAATCTACCCAACTACCCAGTTTTTGTCTCTAATGCAGAGCTTCCCCCAACTCCAGACATAAGAGAGCCAACTCAGGATACCCATCAGATGTCCAATCAACTCCAACTCCAGAGGCTCACAGTAGAACCCTTGACATCCATTGCACCTGATCTCACCCCCAAACTGTGGGAATCTTCCCTGCTTCCTCTCTCTTGCTCACACCTCACATTAGCCCATCAGCTCATCCCATCGCTCTGTCTTAAGACAAATCCAGTACCTGACTTCTACTCTCTACCTCCACTTAGACTAAGTCACCAGGGCCTCCTGCTGGGTCACTGCAGCAGCTTGCCTCTGGCTATGCCCCACAGCATCAGAGCAATTCTTTTGAAACTAGACAGAGTACATCCCTGTCCTGCTCAGAATCCTCTATGCTGCCATCTTACAGGTGCTTGGTGGGGTCCTCTCCTTCCTCTCCACTCACCTCTTCCATCATTCCTCTCTTCCTGCCCTGCTGCAGCCAACTGCCCCTCTAACACCCATCATGCTCCTCCCTCAGCCCCTGACACTGCCTGCCTCCTTGGCACAGAGTAGTTCCCAGAAGGCCACTTGTCCCTCCCTTCCTTCCTGTAGGTCTCTGCTCAAATGTCCCAACCTCCTCCTGGAGACAGGATGGCCACCTGCCTGTCTCTGCAGAGCCCCTCTCTACACAGCCTCTCAGCACTCGTCACTCTGACTGCATGGCATCTGTTCACTCATTACTGAGTTTATTGTCTGTCTCCCCCCAAGAATGTAAATTCCATCCAAGTAAGGACTTTTTTCATGTGGCCCCAGTGTCTAGATCAGTGCCTGGCACATACTAGGTGTCCATATTTGTTAGAGGAGTGACTATACCAGCATAGACACGAGATGGCACAGGTGAGATCCCCACATAGCTGTCACATCGCTCCTGTGTGGTTCTGCTCCACAGAGCCTTTTTCATTCAACCAACTGGCCATTCATTCATTCGTTCAGCATATGTCTCCTGAGTGGCCATCATGTGCCAGCACAAAGTGAGTTTCCCTGGGCTCATTATTTGTGCCCAGGAACAAATAAGAGAGAAGGGATTGTTAGGAGAAAGGAGGTAGGTGGGGAGGGAGAGGATATGGCTGCTGATACCTGTGGGAGGGGAGCCAGGATGCCATGGAGGGGGCAGAGGGCACTGACGGCAAATACCTGCTTCTCAGTTCTTATCTGGCTCATGGAAAGCCAGAAGAGATCCCACACCTTTGTGACAGCAAGGGCCTGCTCCTCCCTTCACTCAGACCTCTCTGGTTGGGGTCACACCCTGGGCATGAGTGAGACACACATTGAGGGATTGTCAACCTATAACCATTTGTCGCCCCTCCTGTGCTGGAGACACCTGCAAACTTCTGGTGCAGGCTTCTTTCAGAGATCAGAGCCCGTTGGGCAGTGAAACATGGCCCTGATAGCTCCTTCTCTCCTTCCTCTCTTCTAGGCTTTTTAGTGCAATTTTAGAACAAGCAACCAAAGCAGACGGGGCAAACGCTCTAGGAGGGAAAGGGGCTGGATTCGACGTGAAGGCGCTGAGGGCCTTCCGCGTGCTGCGCCCTTTGCGGCTGGTGTCCGGTGTCCCGAGTAAGTAAAGCCATTATTCTTGTTTACAACGTTATCTCGTCACCACCTTCTGCTTCCTTTGCTGAACTGCCAAGAGCACTTCGCAAAAGAACCTGATTCTATTATGAATGAAGGGTTTTTATAAATGAGTTTCTTCACTTTAAAGAACCTGACTCTGATGTAAGTACCTTAAAACACACGGTAGTCCCAGCCCCATCAACTCCAGGAGAAAGTGCCGAGCAGTGAGTGATACAGTCAAATGAAGGCAGGAGCACCAAGGAGACATCCCATGGCCATCTGAGCAGCCCTGCAAGGCCCTGGCGAGAATTTACGTATGTTTGCAGAGAAGAGCCAGGTGAGCAAGGTGGATTGGTTCCCAAGGCTCCAGGGTATTTTAGCCAATGAGATTATTTCTGCTTTCTATATTTTTCCGAAGGATAATCAGGAAAGCATCAGTAAGTGTTCTAAAAGTTTTATTTTGCCATTTCTCCCAGCTCTTGCCTCCTTTCATGTCAAACAAGGCATCCCAGGCCTCAGGAGCCCTATTTAGGGACACAAAGCCTGTCATTGTAAGAACTGGTCTCTCCCCAGAAAGTGCTGAGCTCTCTGAATCAGAGGAGGGCTTTAGACAGGTATTACCTATCTAGACGTCAGTCATGCAGATGACTCCCTTCTGTCACTTCTCTGCAACCAGGCCCCTTATGGACACACCCAGGCCGCTGAATGTGATGGCTTTGTGCACATTGCATCCGCTCCAGCAAACCCCAGCCCAGGGTGCTCCTGGGGGCTAAGTCAGCTTTAAGGGAACTCCTGCACTTCTGAATTCCACTTGTGGTATCTGAAAACAATTCTGGACTTGTTTGGTTCAGCTCCATCAGATATCTGGGCTGGCCCATAACTCAAGGTATAGGAAACTACTAAAAGTTGGGCAGAACCAGATGATCCTGGAGATGTGGTGAGGGAGGGGAAGATGGGTGCCCTGAACACACAGCCTCTATTCTAAACATACCTTGCACTGAACACTGAGCCATGTGTGTGCTGTTGGTGGTGTCTCTTAGAGCCAGAAAACCATAGAAATGTGAAGCCCTCCTGTTAACCTACTCATTCCTTGTCATAGAAGCATAGAATAGTGGAAATCTCTTCCTATAACTTTAATTAACTAGCTGTAGAGCCAGAACTAAAACTGAGTCTCCTGAACTCTAGACTAATTCTTTCCTACCATACAGCACCACCTGCTTTAAACAATTAAGGAGTATAAGCTCAACACCTATAGCTCAGTGGGTAGGGCACCAGTCATATACACTGGAGCGTGCAGGTTTGAATCCAGCCCAGGCCTGCCAAACAACAGTGACAACTACAACCAAAAAATAGCTGGGTGTTGTGGAGGGCATCTATAGTCCTAGCTACTTGGGAGGCTGAGGCAAGAGAATTGCTCAAGCTCAAGAGTTTAAGGTTGCTGTGAGCTGTGACGCCATGGCACTCTACCCAGGGTGACAGCTTGAGACTCTGTCTCAAAAAAAAAAAAAAAAAGAATTAAGGAGTATATAACTCTGTATTGTCTTAGATTTTTACAAACATTGCCTGTCTTCTCAGCTACATTATAAGCCCCTCAAAGCCCAGAACTATGCTTTATATTGCCTCTGATTCCTGCACAAAACCTAGATGAGTCTCTAAATAAGGTGGGAGAATTTACTGAATAAATGGAAGTCAGAGAATTGACTGTTTTCTCTGCAGTGTGATTCCCTGGACAAAGCTTGTCTTAGGCTCAGGAGGAACACAGAGCTAAACCACTCAAGTTCACTTAAAGCAGACTTTTTGCGCTTGGCCTTAGCTGTTTTGAGTTAATTAGGAATAGACCCAAGTCTATTATTTGGATTTTCTTGATCAATCAGCCATAACTCAGTAAGCCAAAACCAGGAACTGGGAAGGAGGGTGAGAAATACTTTGAACATGACTTTAAGGATTTAGAATGGAACTGCCAATGTGCTGGTGATAGGGACTAGGGGTTAATTGCAGACTTCAGCCAACCAAGCTACAGTGGCCATGACAGATTCTACCCTGTCACGTGTGTGCTTTTTATTAGGTGTATCAGGACATATCATAGAGAGTACACATGGTCCTTTCACTTGAGGAATTTCACCATCTGATACAAGGGGGTATCAGCCAGCTTTTGCTCCAGAACAAACAACCCCAAGCTCTCGGTGGCCTTCAACCAGAATCTTTTATACCTGCACACCTGGCTCATGGTGCATGAGGACATTGGGCAGCTACAGTTCCTCTAGCATTCAGCTGGGCTTGGCTCCCCCAAGTTCTGTGTGTCATCCTGTTCCAGAACTGAGCCTTGGTCAAAGAAGCAACACCATGTAGGCCACACAGTTCTGGTGGCAGAGGGCAGGTGCTCACAAAAGGGGCATAGAGCCAAACCATGCCAGCAAGTTAAGGTCTTTGCTTATAGACAGCTATATCACAGCTGCTGTCATCCCACTGACCAGAGCAAGCCTTGTGTCTGCCCTCAAAGGTTACGAGGCAAAGAAGTGTGTTGTATCATCAGAGGAGTATGAATGAGTAATTGTGAGGAAATAGTGCAGGGTGCCGCAAAGAGACCGAGGAGATTGTTATCAACAGAAGTAGCCGCAGTAATTGCTCTAGTACAGAGATTCTTGATTAGAGATGAATATGGTCGAGAGCCACTCGCACACCAGTGCATTAAAAGGGAGAATTAGATTAGATAGAGCAGCTTGGGCTCCGCTGCAGAAGAAACTTCCCAAGGAAGGAGCCCTGTCTCCATCTGCGCCTGACTACTGGTAGAACTGTGGTCGTTGGCAAGAGGTGACCCTGCCTGGAATTCCCTGTTCAGAAAGATGAAAACCTGACAATACCTCAGAGTCAAGGCCTTCATGTTACCTGCCGTGCAGTTCAGGAAGATATTTTTGCCTTGAGAGACAGTGACAATTGTGGGTAGCCTTGCAGGTAGCTCTGTGCTTATGCATAGGACCAACAATTATGTCTCGGTTTCTGCGGGTCACCAGTAAAAAGAGGATGGCTCGTTTTGAAGCCTAAGGGAAGGGCTTGTCCAGCCTTCCCCTCTTCCTCACTGGAATAGTGTCCGTGTAGTTCTGCAATAGTGAAGAACGTGGATCTAGGTGAAGAGGCACACTGTGCTAGTTTGGTTGACGTCATCTATGAAATGTCAGCAATGCCACCTATGATTACAAACCTAAAGGAATCTCTCCTTCTTCCACTTCTCGTATAGCCTTGGGTTGTGGCTAGCAGCACTTCTTGAAAGAGTTCCCTCTCCTATTGTTTTCAATGCTTGTCCTCCCATTCTCTCTTGAACACTCTCTGCTCAGGCGTTCCCTCCCCTGCCTGCACCAGCCATCTCTTGCCCAGACCATCAGTGATCACCATGTTACTGAATCCACTGGTCGGTTCCTCAGCCACGTTTTACTGATCTCTCTGCAGCACTGGATATAGCTGATCATCCCTTACCTTTGAACCACCATTGTCCCTTGCCTTCTGGGACTGTTCTTTCTTAGTTCTGTCCTTACTTCCCTTGCTTTTCCTTCTGGAATCTTTTTCTGACTTCTCTCTCGTCTTCCCACCACTTAGCATTGGAGAGCTCAATCCTCAGATCTCTTCTCTACACTCCTGTCCCACCTCAGAGCATTAAATATCATCTCTATTCTAATTAGTACCAACTGTGTGTCAGCAGGCCAGACCCTTCCCCTAAGCACCAGACTTGTATACCTCACTGCCTACTCCATTGCTTTCCTGTCTGGATAGCTATTAAGAATCTTGAACTTGGCATATCCATGGCAACGCTCCTAGTCTTCCCAAAGTCTGTCCCTTCTCAGTTATTGTCAGCCTCATCCTTCTAGCTTCTTGGGCCAAAAATCTTGGATTTATTTCTTGTTCTCACTCAAACCTTACTGTCTGTCAGAAAGTCCTATGTGCTTGCTTGTTAAACCATATCAAGAACATGGCTCTTTCTTACCATCTCACGCTGACCCCAATGCTGGTCACCGTCCCCTCTGACCTGGAAATTACAGCAGCCTCCTGCAGGATTCTCTGCCTGTGCCCTGGCCACAGCCTAGGACTACCACTGCCACCAAGTAGTCCTCTTAAAATCCAAGTCAGGTCAGGTCCCTGTCCTGCTCAGTGGCATCCACAGCTTCCCTAACTCCCCCCAAGTGAGAACCACAGTCCCAGGATTGCACCTACCCTCCTCTCTGACCTCTCTTCCTTCCTCTGTCCTCCTCCCCAGCCCTCGACAGTGTAACAACCCCCTAACTCTTCCTGCAGCTTCCAAACTCATACCTCTGTGGGTTAAGGTACACACATCCCTTCTGTCTGGAACACCCTCTATCTGTTCCCCACGCTCGCCACACATGCCTGCCCAGCCCCTGAGGCCTCCGCCAAGACTCCATCCCCCCCCATCCCCACAGGCCCTCCTCTCTTCTGCACCCCTCCTGGGCTCTGTCTCCCACCTGTTATACTATATGTTTACTTACTCATTGCTCGGTTGCAATGAATGTAACCTCCATGAAGGTGACAGTTTTGTTAGTTTTGTTCAGAATGAGGTCTTCAGCATCTACGATGATGGCAGATAAGTATCTGTAGAATGAATGGACATCATTACACAGACCCTCATGGCTGAGCTACACAGCTACGTGTGGCAGGTACTAAGAACTAGCTAGATCGTAACATGGTGCTAATATTAAAAGCCCCTCACTTACCGGTGCCTCCGTCAGACTTTCCAAAGGGTCTTCTCTTCTTCTATCTGACTTGTTCTTCATGACAATTGTGAGATGTGTACACAGGTGATATGTAGACACATGGAGTATTTTTTGTAACAAATAGGTAAATTTGTTGGGTTTTGAGATCTGCAACTCTAAACCAGTAGCGTTAATGGCACCCAAAGTTGCTATTATTTTTAAATGCCCATATATGTACTAAATGCCATTGCAATCTTATGATTACAGGTTATGGAAAGAGAGAAATGATTATGAGAGTACAAGTCC